GGCCAGCCCGCCATGGCCGGGGCGCCGCCCCCCTGGAGCCTCCATCTCCCGGCGGGCGGGGCCCAGAGAGGGGCCGGCGGGGTGAGGAACAGCCCCCAGGCCTTGAGGAGGACGTCGTCGGGGGGGAGGAGCGAACAGAGCATGAGCAGAAGCGCCAGCATGGCCTCCAACGCCTCGCACCTCTCCTTCACCTAGCGCGCGCGCGCGCGCACCCGATGACGTCACCGCCACGACACCGAGGTCAGCGTGGGGCTCGCGGGCAGCGCTGGAAACAAAACACAGAAGCGACATCACCACCCGACGCGGCCGGAAGCTCATTCCGGTTTCGCGTCGCGCCGGCTGAGGCGTCGAAAGCGCATCGCGCTAGGCTAGCGTCGTCTTTGTGTCAAAGGGTTGGGACCCTGATTTCAAACCCGACACTCTTGCATACCCTTAACCCGCTTTCAGAATTCTGATTTAAAACCCTCAGCCTACTTTGAAATCCCAACCCTACTTTTTAGATGCATTGGGGTCCCAGTAACCCCTTCGCGTCAAGCTCGTGTCATGTCTGCCATTTCAGCGCCGTGCTAAAGTCATTTTCATGTCCCGTGAGTGACGTGACTCGATGACGTGTCATGTATGTACCACCACTCGTCTCGCTTTGTCGTAGCGCCGCATTAGTTTCTCCTCAGCGTCCAAGTAGCGTCATGTGTCACGTCTTCGCCTCACGCTCGGCTTATATTTGCGTCACGTCTGCCAAGGTGGCGTCAAAGTTCTGCCACGTGAGTGTCTACCGTGCTAATGTCACGTTAGCACCACGCTAGCGTCATCGTGGTCCAGTCCCTCATGTTAGCGGTGTATTTGTGTGCTGTCTGCCGCCAATTGTGTCGGCATCACGTTGTCTCCTGTTAGCGTCATATTAGGAACCCACCGGTGGGGTGGGCTGGGGTCGGGGGCTCCAACTTAATGTTTAAGTGAGCTAGGCAGCGTCCAGGCTTGTTGCCCCATCATTCGGTGAGACGCTTCACCATATTTGGCAACAAAAATGCCACTTTTTCTGACGCAAAGAATATGTTTTGCCAGAGAAGAGCTCCTTCTCACCACCACCCCGAAGCAGAAGGATTCGACCGCAAATCTGTAATTTTGCGACAAATTGGCCATAGCCGGCCCGAGCCAAATCGGAGGCTGAGCAACCACTCAAATATTCTGTGACGGAGATGCTCGCCCTTGTGCCGAAAACGTTTGTACACAGAAAGGCTCGCTCCCGCTTGAAAGACTGAGTCGCAACGTGTGTTTTTCGCAAGAGAAACGGCACACTTTGCGACGCAAGCGCTACGTTTTGCACCGAAATCCACAAAAAAAATGAAATCTCGTGCCAGCAAACACGCAGTACGATGTCAATCTGGCCAACTGGGATGTCCCGAGTGGGCAAACCTCAGGAGGCAACGTTGCTTGACTTGCTTGAGTTGTCGAAGTGGAGACTCCCCAAGTCACGTCGAGGTCACGTCGCCTCGTCGACGGCATGTGGAGGCGATGCTGCGTGCTTGGCTGCTGTGCTCCTGCTGCCAATCTCCCTTCACTTCCTCGTTTCCTTTCTCGCTTGGCGTCCTCCCTCCCTGGCTTCCTGGCTCGCGACCATCTCGGCCTTCTCGCTTCTGACCTCGCGACCATCCTCACCTCCCGCCTTCCTGGCTTCCTCTCTTCTTACCTTGCCGTCCTCTGAGCCTTCTGGCCTACTTCCTCGCGAGCATCCTCGCTTCCCTCGGGCGACGCCCCGCTCCGCGTCCCCCTCCTCCCTCGCCCCGGCCGACAACAAAGACAAGACCAAACCTCGCTGCTGCTTCCGCCTGTCATTCAAAGTGTAAATATGTACATGAAGACTATTGTAGAGTCGGTACGTCCCATCGTACGGTCAAACGTGTTCATATTGTAAATGGTGTGAAAAATTTCACAGGAAATTTAACGACGTCGTCGGCACGGGCCACCGGCGCCTCCTCTTGTAGCTCCGCCCCCGCGGTGGGCGGAGTCAAGCCGATGCCGGCTATCAGTATTCTTTGCTGTTGTCAGTGGAAAATGAAAATGGGAAGAGAGACTCTGTTCATCCCGGAGGGCACGTGAAAGCTGGAGAGAAATGTTACGAGTTACTTTGGTTTTGTTGGCCTACGGCTACTGAAGAAAGAGTTATATGTAATAAAGAAGGGGGGGGGGTTCTTTGTTGTCAATTTTCAAGCCTTTGACACTGTCGAACAAATGAAGTTGTACAAATATCTATTTTAATCATCGATCCCTCATTATTATTTTGACAAACAATGGATGAATCCGATTTTTGTTGTTGCTGTTGTCAACGGGACATTTCAACTTTTTCGGTGAGGGACTGGAAGGAGGTTTCGTGACCGGCTGCGACGTGTCCCGTCCCTTGTGCGACAAAATACTGTACCTCGGAAGCGACTGCGTTACTCCCAACCCTGTCGGCAAAACAAATTACCTGAATAAAGGTTTCGTTTTAGCCTCAGAGCGAGTCAAGTCATCAGGAGGCAACCTAACTAACACTCAACGAGCCACTCGCCGATTTGACATCGCGCAATAATATTGAAACGTTGCTCGATTGAAAAAGTGACGGTCACAAGACGACCATTTGTGTAGCTTCTCTCCGTTCCCCCGTATTGTTTCAAGATGCTGACAAAATAAACATGTTCAAGACATCTCGAATTCTAGTCGATCTTTTTTTTTTTTTTTGCCATTGTAAATTGTTATTTTCTGTCGGGAAATTGTGAGGAATATCCGGACGGTTACGATACTTTACAATCGTGTTTTTTACACCAACGTTTATAAAAATAAATCGAAATATATCTTCATATAGATTCCAATAGCGCAGTTGAACGTGACACAAAGCGCACCCGTTGTTTCAGCCTCACGCCCGAAGAAGAAGTAAAAGACGTAGAAGAAGAAAAACCCGGAAGTGTCTTGGCTAATTTATGAAAGCCGAGCCTCGTTATCATCAGGTAAGTCAACGAATCAGATCATTTTGGAAGTTTGTTTGTGTTTAATCCTCTGAATGCCACTTTATGAAGACGTTGCCAACCATGATTTGACAACGCGACCGCAGCTCTTCCCGTGACGCCCGACTGTCTTTTTCGACTCTTGAGCTATCGACTCCGTTTGTCAACATCGTCATTCCGCATGAAATGATTCTGCTTATACGACAAATACGTGTCAATTTCTCTCGGTTCTATGCAAACGAATCCATCATACTCAGTCCTGTTGGTCCGTAACATTAAAAAATCGTCAGTCGCCCGTCGTGGAAGGTGATGGAAGAAATGAAGCAATCTGGTCGTATTAAAAGGTTCAAAGACTCGATTGTAGTCTTGGTCAGGAAGGTTCCGGGGTCGTGAACATGGCCTTATTACCTTCAAATGTTTACTCTAAATAAAAGCCTGTGCGTGTGTGTTCTCCTCTCCGTGGTTCAGTTGTTGAGGATGAGCCGGCAAGCAGCTGAACAGAAATGCAGCGAGGAAGACTCTGCAGACCGGGAGGACTTCTTTGACTGCCAAGAGACTTTGGAGCATCCGGACCGAGGAGACCAGGACGGACGACACACAAAAACGGACTCGAGACACCAGCCAACAGACGACACGAGCACAGAACCGACGGAGGACGCGGGGGACGATTCCGACGGCGACTTGAAGGACTTTGGAGAAGTGGCAGAAGATGACCATCAGGAGGAGGAAGAGGAGAACTTGACAGAGGGAGAGATGGAGGTAAAAGTGGTGGATGACCTTGAAGGGTCGACAAACGCATCCGTCGCGCTCACCTTTTTGTCACCTCAGAGCCGACGACTAGAGAGTCTCACCTTGAAGGAGGAAGGAAACTGCCACTTTAAAAACGGAGGTGAGCTCCACCGCTGCATCCACCGCTGTGGTCACGCTGTACACCAGTCGAGAGGCCAAGCTTATCATCGTAAACCAAAACTCAAATCGAAAGAGGATTTTCGTTCAGGAAATAAAATGTTAAAAAGCAAATTGCTTTTACCAAAACTGAAACTAGAGCTAGAGCTACATATCCACGTTTATGAAGACCAAAACTAGAGCTAGAGCTACATATCCACGTTTATGAAACTAACGGTACGAATAGTGAAAATGTCCTTTGTTTTCCTCCGTCGATTAATATCCCACGGAGAAAAAAAAAACAACAAATGTCGGGGTTCACTATTTTCAATGTCTAGGTTTTGGTACACGCTGCACAACCGCAGCCACGACGTACCGAGCAGTTTCACGAGTGAGTGCGCGGGCAGCGTCATGCCGCGGAACGCTTTGAGCAGCGTGTGCTGTGTTGGTGCAGATTGGTCTCTGGCGGAGCAAAGCTACACGCAGGCGCTGCGTTTGTGTCCGCGCCGTTTCAGCCAAGAGCGAGCCGTCTTGTTCTCCAACAGAGCCGCTGCACGACTGCACCTGGTAAATGCAACACACGCCAACGCTCTCACACCCACCGACGCCAGTCGGCATGGCTAAGGTGAGCAGAGTCGGCGCCGGTCGGGCGTGGAGCAAAATGCAAACGCTGGCGGATGAGCTCACGCGCACTTGCGCCACGCTCACGAGACCTTTCGCTTTCTTGCGCCAGGAGCGGAAGGACGACGGGATCGCCGACTGCTCCAGAGGTGAGCGATGTCAGGACGAGCGTTTATTATTATTTTTTTTTTTTGGGTGAACCTGGAATTTGGACATGTGACAACTTTTCTTTCTTTCTTGCTAGCGTTGGAGCTGAATCCAGACTACGTGAAGGCCTTGCTGAGGAGGGCGGAGCTCTACGAGCAGACGGAGCAACTGGAAAAGGCGCTGGACGACTACCAGAAGGTTCTGGAGCGAGACCCCAAGCAGACGGCAGCCGGGCAGGCCTGCGCGGTGAGTTCGGGGCCCTTCGCGGCCACCCGCCTCTTGCCAGATCCATCCCTCCCATTTTCTACTTGCGAGGGTCGCGGGTGAGCTGGAGTCAAATTCAGTGCAAGGGCGCATGGAGGCAACGAGGAAAAGGCGACAGGACAAGCCGCTATTTGTTTCTTGTTCTAGTGCGAGTGAGTAAAAGTCACACTTTGGTGCCGTCTTGTCAAGAAGTTACGCCGAAGCCAGTCGAGGTGCTTCATTAACGCAAGTGGTGCTTTGCCACCGTCTTGGTTTCACGGAACTCTGTTGAGGAGTCTCAGGAAGACAAATGTGGTGCTTTGCTGCATTTATTTGTTGAAATCCCGTTTTGTAACGCCAGCCCGACCACTTGCCGTCCCCGCAGAGACTACCTCAGCAGATCCACGAAAAGAACGAGAAGCTGAAGGCGGAAATGTTGGGTAATGGTCGGCAGGCGCCTCTCCCCGTGCCCCCGAGCGGCGATTGACCCTGACCTCTGTTGACCCCGGCAGGTAAGCTGAAGGACCTGGGGAACCTGGTCCTGCGACCGTTCGGCCTGTCCACCAGCAATTTCCAGGTCAACCAGGACGCCGCCACGGGCTCCTACTCCATCAACTTTGTCAACAAGGCCGGCGACACGTGACCGCGCCGGCGCTTCCCAATAAAAGCCTTTTGCCGTCCCATCCCCGCTGCCGGGCTGATCAATGACCAATCGCTCAGGTGGTGACACGAGCGCTTTAATGAAACGAAGACACGGCGAAAAGCTTTTGACGGCTCACTGAGCTCTCCTGGACAGCAGCATCTCCCGAATGTTGTCCTCCGCCTCCTTGACGCTGCGTTCCAGGTACACCTTCTTCTGCTGGAAGCCACAAACACACGACAAGTTTCAAAAATATATATATTTTTTGGGGGGGGGGGAAAGCTTTCATTTCCCCGCCCTCCTCAAATTGGCATGTTGACGCAATGCTCAAACAATTGATTAGACGCTTTGAAATCTTTTTTTTTTCTCAAGCATTTCATTGTGAACTTGTTAATGTTTTTTTTTTCAAACCCTTTCACAAAATTAGGATTATCCCACTTATTCACTTTTTTTTAAGTTACCTCACTTCTTTGTGCTTTTAAGTTGGAACAGTTTGCAACAAAATGCAGAAATTTGAGGTCAATACAAATTTGTTAATTTGGGCTTTTTTTGGCGCGGGGGGGTGAATAGGAATGAGCTGAACAGTTCCCGGTTAGAATCTCTCTAAAATGGGGAAATGAGAGGGTTTTCGTCGAATGTGGCTGAGGAGTCCCAACGGGGAACGATTCGGTCCAATTGTAGGAAAGGTTTGAAATGTGGACCCACAAGCGATTGAATGGCACGAATGCTTGTTGAAGTCGGAAGGAGGCGAAGCAGTCGCCAAACCCGGCAAAGGAAGTGACCGATGGCCAATGCGAGTTCACGTGTTCGGCTGACAAAGGCGGCTACCTCCAGTTCTTTGATTTTCTCCTCGGCCGTCTTCTGCTTGACCTTCAGCTGCTGCGTGATGTCGTCCTTGGACTGCAGGATGAACCTGAAGCGTGCGCGGGCGTGCGGGCAGTCGTCAGGCGACCGACGGTTTTAGGGCGGCGCGGCGGGCGACTCACATGCGTCCGACGCCCTCGTACATGCGCGTGTTGTCGCCCAGCGTGCTGATCTCGGCGTGCGTGAGGTTGGCGTGCTTCTGCACGTGCGTCAGCTGCTCGATCTGCAGGTCGGCCAGCTTCACCTTCTGCTGCGTGTCGATCATCTTCACCTGCAGCTCCGAGAAGGCCTGGCGCCCGCAAACGACACGCGCGCACTTGCGTTGAAAGGGCAACCCACACCCGACACGCCAATGTATACACGCGCCCTGGACCGGGCGCCGGTCAGTCGCGCTTCCGCGATGTCTCCCTCCTCCGATCACACCCGAGTCAAACGATCAGGATCACGAGCGGCCCTCCGCAGAGCTTGCCGATCTTTTTGATTCGGGTGTGTTGCGGCGGGCGGAGATGCAAAATAGACGGGGCGCGGCGGACCTCGAGGACTAGACTTCGGCATCCCCGTAGGAAACAACGGACTGCTCGCCGGTCCTTTTCAAGTCACATATCTAGACGAAGACCGGACCGGAGCGGTCGAGGAGCAGCGGGTGCACATCGAGTTGATGAACAAAAGGGTGGTCGCCGGCCAGTCAGTCTCGTGGACACGCGCGACCAATGCCGTTCCCTTCGATTGACAATTTCGAAGCGAACGCGCAAGGTCCACTCGGGGAGGCCCGAGCCGAGATTCGAACCCAGAACAGGCGGCGCGGCGAGACGAGGCAGGCGCGTTCACCGCTCGTTTTACCGAGTCACCGGGCGTCACGTCGAGAATAGCTCCAATCGATGGTCTCGCTAACAAGCGTGGCCTTTGAAAAAGTGCACCTCGTACGTGTTGGAAAGCAATCCAACTCGTGAACGCGTCTTCGTTCGCTCAATTACCTTCTTCAGCTCCAAATCCACGGGCGCCGCCATTTTCCTGAAGGTTGGGCTGCGCATGCGCACGACAACATCCGCTCCCCCTCAACTCGACGACACACTATTGCTTTTTTTTTTTTAAACGTCAATTAGCAAGATTACTCACGTTTGTATCCAGAGTGTTTTATGATCACGCGTGTGTGTGTGTTTAGTTTTTATGTTGTTTTGATAACGCCGTAGTGAACCTTGAAACTGTTACTTAAACTGCGCAGCGATTCACTCCAAAATAGATTCGACATCAAGATAGACGACAAAATGAGTGATGAAGCCACCCCAAATTCAATTCGTGAACGTATTCGTCCTCCGTGGCGTGGGAGCGTCTCTCTTCCAGCCGGAAATACGTCAGCTGGTTTTCCGAGCGCGCGACGAATGCCTCCAAGAGGAGGACGGACAGTCGCGTCGGGCAGCATCTAACGAACGAACGCACTTAACTAACTCAACTCACTCACTCACTGCGACACTAAGCGAACAAAAGAGGAGCATGGCGGACTCCTCCAAAGCGCTCTCTCTGTCTCTGTCTCTCTCTCTCTCTCTGGGGGTCTTTAGATGACACTTGGGACCACTGGGATGTGTTCATCTGTGAGAAACCAACCCAGGTTTTTTTATGAGAGCCCCAGAAGGCTCCGCCAGGTCAACGCCGATCACTTGATGACCAGAGTCCATCCTGCAGCTCTTTTCCCTGCCAAGAGACTTTTCCAAAGACTTGCACACGAACGTTTTTCTTTCTCCTTTCTTTGTTTGGTGGTGAATGAGTGACATGAAAAGTTTTCACGGCAGCGAGCGTTAGCAATCATTGTCCTCGCGATTGTGCAAGCGCTCCACCGGCCCTCAATGTTCAACCCTGCCGACACGTGTCGGCGGGGTTGTACGAGTGCGTCGGCGCCTGTGTTTTCAGCTGGTGACCTTGCGACCGGTCGCCCGCCGTCTTGTTTGTTGCTTGGAGTCACGGGGGTGAATTCCGAGCGGAGGTCGCCGCGGCGCGAAGCGCAGCTGGACCTTCCGACGACAGGTCCGCCGCGTGTCTGCGCGTGCGTCGTGTGATTGGCTAGCGACCAGTCCAGGGTGTACCCCGCCTCTTCTGGCCACAGCCCTCGCACGCTCATGAAAAGGCATGAAAATGAAAGATGCATTTTTCCAGGTCCGAACAAACATGAGCAATATTCCAAGAGACGAGTTGGGATTCGGGATTCCGAAATGCTTTGGTCTTCTAGGTGAGGTTTAGGCCACAATCCAAGCACCAAGAACCAAGAAGAACTGTGGCCATTTCCTTCAATTTGAGCGGCGCTCTTACGAAAGTGTCCTTGACGCACATTTAAAGACCGTTAGGAAGTTTGAATCGTCCGGCAAGAAGTGGTTCTGATGGAAGGGGGAGCTTTCATGACCGGGCGGTAAGTTGGAGTGATTTCCCCGAAAGTTGCCGTCATCTTGCGGGGAGTGTGCTTTTGCGTTGGTACTGATCCAACTACTGCGTTCCAATGACCAGCGGTGAGCTTTGAGCGCTCCGCTAGGAAGTTGGAATGGTCCGGCGGCGATCTGGCGGACACTCGTAATGACCAGCAGGCCGTGCGTGTTTTCGACTTGTCGGCATGTCCAATGACTCATCATCGTGTCGCTCAAGTTATTGCCGGCGAGGCTCACGTGAACATTAACAGACGCCGCGGTGGGGGTCAGGCTCGGGGTGGGAGTTGCGACGGGGGTTGAAGACCGCGTCGCGCAACGTGTCAAAGTCTGCGGCCCCCGAGGAAGACGCGTCGCCGCCGTCCGGCCGTCGGGTCCTGGTGCCGCGCAGTCAGCAAACGGCCGCCGGCGAGAGGAAATCCACTTGTTTGCGAACGTGCGCACGTTTAATCCGTTAAGGCGACTCAGCAGACCCCCAGCAAATTGTGAGAAAGAGCCGACGCCGCCGTCATGGCAACTTTCAGCGGCGCGGGTGGCAGGAGACTTTTCTTATTTGTTTTGACAGGTCCATTTGAAGGCGAGAAGAAGAACGGACGGCGACATTGTCAGGATGGGCTTCAGTGAGCTGCTGGATGAGGTGAGTAATCGGATTACAAGAAGCAGCCATCGGGAGTAATCTGATTCCAAGGAGAAACAGCCGCGTGCGTGGATTGGCGAGGGGCGCGCCCGAGCGGCAGGCGGCGAGCGCGTCGGCCCGGGCCCGACGCTGGTGTCCCGACCCGCCTCAGGTCGGCACCGTCGCGACTCCTCCGCCCCGTGACCGACTCGCGACCGGTCCGTTGTTTGTCCACGGGCTGCCGACCAGTCGGTGGCGCGCGATTGGCTCCAACTCCATACGTGGTCCAAATGAGCAGCGAGAAGTTTGAATGACGCGGCGGGAAGTTTCAGTCGACATCTCGGCGGTAAACCTCCGCATGTGCGACCGGTCAGATGGGCGGTTTCGGCCGCTACCAGTGGCTCCACGTGACCCTCATCAGTTTCCCGGGCCTGCTGATGGCGAGTCAGAACCTCCTGAACAACTTTGTCTCCGGAACGCCCGCCCACCACTGCCGGCTGTCGACCAATCACAGCCTGTGGAACCTCACGCGGCACGTACGTGATTGGCGTCCGAGGCGGTCGGGCGCCGCGCGGCTAACGCCGCGTCGTCGTGTTTTAGGCGGACCGGCGAGACGTGTTGAAGGCCTTCATCCCTCCGGACCCCTCGGGAACCCGGCTGGACCGCTGCAGCAGGTCGCTCGGCAACCCGTCGACGCCGGTCGCCTGGCGCCGGCTAAACGGCGGCTAAACGCCGGCTCGCTTTCAGATACGTGACGCCGCAGTGGCAGCTGCTGAGCGCCAACAGCTCGGTGAACACCAGTCACCTGGAGACCGAAAGCTGCGTGGACGGGTGGACTTTCGACAGCTCCGAGTTCATCGCCACCACCGTTTCCGAGGTAAGCCGGAAATCGGAGCGCGCGCCCGTCATCTGGTCGGGAATTCGAGTGAGCGAGCCGCACCTTGGAGCCATCGGCGAGCGCGTCGGGTGCGATCGTGGTCCATCGGGGAAGGAAGTTTGAGCGATCCGGCGGGAAGTCCTCGCGCCCCGTCGGCCGTGTTCCTGATCTGGCGGGAATCGCCGACGATTCGGTCTGAATGTGCGGGTGATCCCGTAAGATGTTGCCATGGTCCGGCGAGAAGTTCAAGCGATCCCTCGGGAGGGCTCCAGTTTTCCAGAAGGAGTTCAAAGTGCGTCGGCGGGAGTTGGAAAGATCCCGTCGGAAGCGGACGAGCTCTATCGAAGGGCTCGAAGCGGTTCGGGAGGACGCGGGCAGATGGCCGAGCGGGAAGATGATGATGCACTCGTGCGTGCCAATGAGCGTGGTCTTGCCTTGTGCGTCTTCAGTGGGATCTGGTGTGCTCGCTGCGTCCCCTCAAGCAGATGATCCAGACGGTGTACATGGGCGGCCTCTTAGCGGGCGCCGTCATCTACGGCGGCCTGTCCGACAGGTGAGCCTCTTTGCTTCTCTCCGAAGGCCGGCCCCTTCGGGCTACCGGCCGCGGTGGCCCCTCCCCCCGCACGCGGGCGGGCCTTCTCCCTCCGCTCGCCGAGGAAGAAGGGCGCCCCCGAGTCGGGTCCTGCGTTTTTGTCTCAGGTGGGGTCGGCGCTCCGTCCTGATTTGGTCCTACCTGCAGCTGGGCGTCCTGGGCTCCTGCTGCGCCCTGTCGCAGTCTTACTGGGTCTACTGCGTCTTCCGCTTCCTGAGCGGCATGGCCGTGTCGGGCATCATCCTCAACACCGTCTCCCTGAGTAAGCGGTTTCGACCTCGGGGTCTTGGGTGGGCTCCGTCAGCCGGACCGACGCTGTTGCCGTTTTGTCGTCAGAGGTGGAGTGGATCCCGACCAAAACCAGGACTTTGGTGGGCACGCTCACCTCCTTCTACTTCACCTTCGGTCAACTGGTCTTGGCCGGCTTGGCTTACTGGCTGCGGGACTGGAGGAAGTTGCACTTGGTGGCGTGCGCTCCGCACATCCTCTCCTTTGCCTACAGCTGGTCCGTCCTCATTCCTGCCTCGGTTGCCCCCCCCTCGCGAATCGCCGTCTGAGCCAAACGTGTCGCCGCTCAGGTGGTTGGCGGAGTCGCCGCGCTGGCTGATTCTCAAGGGGCGGTCCCAGGATGCCTTGAAGACCCTCCACAGAGTCGCTCGCATCAACGGAAAACCCGAAGCGGTGGACAAGCTGACGCCGGAGGTTGCCCCGTCACGCGTCCGCAAACGACGCCTCGCGGCGATCCGCCGTCGCTCGTCAACGGGGGCTTGAACGCGTGCGCCGTGTGACCCGCAGGTGCTTCGCTCCCACATGAGCAAGGAGCTGGAGTCCGATCGCAAGACGCTGACCGCCTACGACCTGCTCCGGACGCCCGGCATGAGGCGCATCTCCGTCGGGCTCATCGCCGTCTGGTGAGGGACGACCCGGACCGTCGCGCCTTGCCCGAGTGAAGCGGCTAACGTTAGCGCAGGCGCGGGGCTCCCGTCATCGGGCTTGACTCCGATCACACACAAGTGGCCAATCGCTCCCCGCACACGGGGACCGCCGCCGCCTGACCTGACTCTGGCCTCGTTTCCTCGAAGAGACAAGATTCGCCACTTCCTCACACCGCCGCCGGTCGCCGCTCGCGTGACGTCCGCCCGTGTCCCTTTGCTAGGTTCTCCACCAGCTTCGCGTACTACGGTTTGGTGCTGGACCTGCAGAAGTTCGGGGTGAGCGCGCTCACTTTTCGGCCCGAGCCGGGCCGCAGCACGCTAAGCTGAGCTAAGTGCTGCCGTTCCTCGGCGCAGGTGAGTATTTATGTGATGCAGCTCATCTTCGGAGCCGTGGATTTTCCCTCCAAGTTTGTGGCTCTGGGGATGCTCGGCTTCCTCGGGAGGAGGGTGACGCAGGCCTTGTGCCTCCTCATGTCCGCCCTCTTCATCTTCGCCAACATCTTTGTCCCCGCGGGTGAGGCAAAACACACAATTCCAAAAAATAGAATGGACAGTATAGACTTATTTTTATTTTGGGGGGGAGGGGAAACGGAGGCAAGCGTCTGCTTTTCCAAACGCGCGCTTGGCGTTCTTCTGTCAGACATGCAGGCCATCAGAACCACGCTGGCGTGTCTGGGCAAGGCCTTCACCTCGGCGTCCTTCACCACCGTCTACTTGTACACCGGAGAACTTTACCCGACCGTCGTCAGGTAGGACATCATCGCTTGAGGAAAAAGCGCACGTGGTGCGATTCGCTCGTCGGGAACGAGCCAAGGATTGCGAACGCCGTCCTTTTTAAAGGACGGTCGACGAAACGATGACTCGCGTGCGCCCCACTCATGAGGGCTCGTCCTTCATATCTGGTGGGCGACATCGTTGAAAGATGAGCCGCATCGTCCCAAATCGCCGTTTTTCGAGAGTGCGCTCATCAGTCAAATGCTCGGTTCTGTTTACGTCACATTGCCGTGTTGCTCCGCAGGCAAACGGGGATGGGTCTGGTGTCCACGATGGCCAGAGTGGGCAGCATGGCGGCGCCCGCCGTCCTCATCCTGGATGAGGTAAACCCGCACGGTCGAATTGTCGGGCCGTCATCGCGAGGGCAGCCTCCCGAATGCCGTCTCGCGGCCCCCGCAGGTGGTCCCCGCCCTGCCCAGCGTGGTGTACGGGGGTGCGGCCGTGCTGGCTTCGGGCTTCGCTTGCCTCCTGCCGGAGACGCTCAACGTTCCGCTCCCGGACACCATCCGGGACGTGGAGGAGAAATGGTGAGCGGGCCGAGCGGCGAACGCCAACGACGGGAGGCTCCGTCCCGACCGCCGTCCGGGTTCACGCAAAGGGCAAAGGGACCCGTTACCGCGTCGCACGGCCGCGAAGCGTTTCGATGACGGATCGTCACAACTTGGGGCGCTAAGCTCAGTCGCGAAAAAAAGAAACGACTCGAACATCAGAAGCTGACATTGGTCTGCTTTCGCGCGAATGGAACTTTGAGGGCTAACATTAGGAGCAAACGTTACAGGCGCACGTTGACGCGAACGTCCTCCTCTTAATGTCGGCACCTAGCACGGGATCGGACAGAGTGTCCTGAAATCTCACCCTCAAGTCCAATACGGTACCGCCCACTTTGGTTTTGAAGTCACCAAGGTCATGCAACGACTCGTAGGACGGTAGCCTCGGGAATTCTTACAAGTTGTGGAGCGCAAACGAACGACTCGTAGGGCGGTAGCCTCGGGAATTCTTACAAGTTGTGGAGCGCCGTGACACAAAAAGCCTCCTGGTACGTTGGCTGCCTTTTTCAAACGGGTCTCATTTTCCACACAATCCGATGTTTTGGATTTGACCGAGGTGTGTCTCTGAAGGTCCGGAAGAAGCCTCGCCGGTCAGAAGCGGAAGAAGACGGACCTTTCGTCAGAAGATGAACAAGTGGGCCTGTCCTTAAAACAAGTGAAAGAAGTCGAAGGGAGCGGTCTCAACGCCCTCTGACCAATCACGGGTCACATCATGGCCGCTCATTCGCAGATGTGATCGATCGATCGATCCGCATTTCGTTTGTTGAATCGTATTCGTAATTGTAACGCGGTCACACGCGGCTTTCATTAATCTGAATTAATCAATGATTGATTTGAGGCCTGTGACCAGTGTGCTGTTCTATTAATTTGTGAAGGAGGCGGCAATCGCGTCGTGTTTCATTTTCAACTGTACGACAATCCTAATCTTGTATGTCGACATTTGTTTTCAAGAAACGAACACATGAAATAAGTTGGGGAGGAGTCAAAATTTGAACTCATTCAGTAAAGTTAGCTTTTAAAACTGACCCAGAGGCTTCGAGTTAATGAATCAATGTACACGTGAACTTAGAGTTTGGGTCCACAAATGAACACTTGAAATCCAATGTCATGCCTTTAAATTTCGAGCCAATGCAGAAAGACAAGACGAAAACAACAAGAATTTATTCATGTTTCATCCGAGTGACGATAGAATCGTGAATAATTATCAACTGCTCATGTCTTGCCGTCATATCTTTTCTTCTTGTCATTTCTTATGTGTTTTCTTGAGGAATGAAAAAACTGTATGTTGTGAAAGTCTGCTTGAGTCACTTTTTTTCTGCTCATCAACGGGATGCTGGCCGATGTTTTTGTTTCGCGTCTCAGACGAACCCACTCCGGTGACGTCATTCCACTTCCGCGTCTCAGACGAATCGGAGCGCATAGGTTCTTTGGGCTTTCGTTTGACTGACGACATCGTCGGCCAATTGCGGGCCTCCAATTCTCTGAACCTTTGTAAAGGAGGGGCGGGCGCGGCGACGCGCGCTCGCTCGCATAGCGGAAGAAAATGGCGGCCGTGGCCACCGAGCCAGGAGCTGCGGCGATTCGCACAACGGCGACGACCGACGACGGCTCACCGGAATCGGGCCCCAGCGTCCCGGGGCGCATGCAGGTCTCCCAGGACCCCGAGGGATTGCCGGAGCACGAGTCGGCCGTGGAGTTGTATCGGCCTCGCTCGGGAGACTCTGGCAACGGGGAGGACCGCCGCCATGTCAGGCCAGAGCCGCAGCCGGAGCCGGAGCCCGCGGCGGGAAAAGTCCAAGGGGAGGCCGCCAGCGACCCGCTCGTCCACGACCGCGGAGCCGGCGTCTCCCCCGGGGAAGCGGCGCGGAACGGCTCGGCGCAGGCGGCGTACCGAAGCATCCTCGCGCAGCCCAAGCCCACCTCCTCAGCCGTCTTCCTGCACTCCTTCCCGGCCGCCCGGCCCCCGCCCGGCGCCGAGGACGGCCTTTCGCTGGCGGAACCGGCGGAACCGACCACGAACGCCGCGGGCCGGGACCGAGGCTACGCGGCTTCGGTCCAACCGGAGCGAAGGCCCGTCGCTAGCCACGACGCCGGACGGGACGCTATCGCGGAAGGGGATCCGGAGCCCGAGGAGACGTACGCGGGTGGCGGGTCGCCGCAGCCGGACGGCAAGCCGGCCGAAGCCTCGGCCGAAGCCGAGACGGGTCCTTGCGCTCCGCGGCTCGGCGCCTGCGTTCAGGACCTGACCCTCAGCCTCGGCTCCGAGGTCCGGGTCTCTTTGGACCACGTCATCGATGACGCGCTGGTCGTGTCCTTCCGGGTGGGCGAGAAGCTCTTCTCCGGGGTTCTCATGGACGTTTCCAAAAGGTAAGGCTCACGCGGTTTCTGTCTTGACAAGCTTCCCGACGTCCGTCATTTGATCGTCAAAGGTGGGCGAGATGTGGCCACCGATTCCCGCTTTTCAACCGGGCGAATCCTTCCTTTGTGTCAAATGAGCCACACTCGGGCAAACGGCGCATTTTACTCTTTGCTGTTGAACGACAAATTGATGTGTGAGCTGAATGAAAGGACAAGGACGTGGAGGCGTTTCGTTCGGACGGGTTGTCCCATGTGAGTCTAAGGTTCTCCTTCCCTTTGCTCAGGTTCGGACCCTACGGAATTCCCGTCACGCCGTTTCCCCGACGCGAAGACCAGAGTCCACCTCAGAGGGCGGCGATCCCCGCGGAAGCTGCCGCCCCCGCGCCCCCAAAGCAGGAAGCGCCCACGGAGAAGGACTCGGACTCGCCGCCTTGCCCGTGGAGCGCCAAGCCGCCCCCGCTGTTCCAGGAGGGGGCGCCGTACCCGCCCCCGCTGTTCATCCGGGACACCTACAACCAGGCGTTACCTCAGCCGCCGCCCCGCAAGATCAAAAGGCCCAAGCGCCGTTACCGCTGCGAGGAGCCCACCTCCATCATGAACGCCATCAAGCTGCGCCCCCGCCAGGTGCTGTGCGACAAGTGCAAAGGCGTGGTGGCCGCGGCCGGGCGCCGGCCGGGCGCCGTGGACCTGAGGGGCGAGGAGGCGTCGCGGCGGCGGAGGGCGGCGGAGGGGCCCGTGTCCGCGGAGGTCAAGCGACTGAGGAGCGACGACAAAAGCGGTCGCGGCGACAGACGCCCCCCGTCGGGGATCCGCGTGTCCGCCGCCGCTTCCGCGTCCTCGCGCCGCGTCCTGCGGGCGGTGTCCTCGTCCTCCTCCTCCATTCGTCTGAAGCTGAACTCGAAGAAGGTTCTGGCCAAGGGAACCTCGGCGGATTGCGCCAAAACCGGCCAGGTTCTCAAGAGACTGCCACGGAACTCGCAGCCTCCGCCGCCGCTCGGGGAGAACCAGGACAGAGAGGGCGGCGGCGGCAAGGCTTTGACGCGTGCGGCGGCCTTGCAGAATCACAACCAGAACCAGAAGGTCCACTTCACCCGCCGCCTGCAGCACCTTAGCACCGCCCGGGTGGGCCCCGCCTCGCACACGGCGCTGCCGCCTCGGATGCGCCTCAAACCCCAAAGGTATCGTACCGACGACGCTCAGGCCCCCCCCTCCTCTTCCTCTTCCTCGCCTCCCAAACACGGCGCTCGCTCGGCCAGCTCGAGCCCCAGCCGGCCCGCGCTCGGCCCCGTGCCGCGCCTCGCCCCCGGTCCGAC